TGTGTGATGAAATCTAAAGCTTTGTTAACCATGCATGTAGTCTCCATCAGTATCCGATTCAGTGAGTTGAATTATTTGCCTGTAATATGAGGTTATTACGAAGATACCCCAAATTATGTACAACGCCAGTACAGCGGGATTATCGACTGATGCGTAGCAGAGGTCGGTGCGACTGCGTACTGTCTGAGTGCATACTTTGAGTTATCCTTGTAATAACTTAATTATTAGACATTTGTGCATTCAAAGGATACATCATGGGAATGCCGAAATCCAACAGGTTTAGAACAAAATCAGCGAACTCTTTGTGGGTCAAACGCGCGTAATCATTCTATATTTGGAATTCGCATTTCCTTAGATGGTAGGATGAAAATATCTCATCAAATACCGCACACTTACGGCGTGTTGTAACTTATGGCGTAACGGTTACTAATATGAATAGCAAGCAGTGCTGGATTGTTTTTGTGATTTCATTATTGGAAGCCAATGCTTTGCATTTCTAGTATGGTAGAGAAAATCACCTTAATGTTTACACGAGTTTGTATTTATCTGTTAATCATTCTCTAAATCTAATATTTCACCACCTACTTTAAAAATCGTATTAATATGTATAGCCAATTTCTTTTTCTACTGGGAAAATTACATTTTTAACGCATTAAATCTACAATGTTTGGCCACGGCAAATTAACATATATCGTTCACCAAATAGACTCACAATCTCAGTGAAAAATTGTTTAGTGTTGATTATTGTAACCTGCTGTTTTCATTAAAATAATGAAGGCCCAACTCATATGCGTGGCTACCATTGATATAATGATTACATACGAGATACAATTATATTTCACAAAGTCAACAGGTCAATCCAATGACCTCATGATTCCTTTAATTAAGTCTGTTATATGTCTGTCTATATCACCTTGTTTTCACGTTGTACTTTGATACAGTACTAATTTTACAGGTCTCCCAAGAGTCACTATCTCATGCTTTATCAAACTCGTCCTTCAAATACCGGAATCAATGCAACTGAACACGTTCAAACCTTCAATATTGTCCAAAATAAATCGAGGAGATTATTTGGAACTATATACTTATACGTATCAGATCTCTGTAATCCACTATGTTCAATGTTTCTTCAAAATAGCAAAAGGCTGACATTTAAAAGGACTAAACTGTACTTGCTTCCACCAAATGATTTGTTCTCATTCAAATCTCCGACAGGTGTTCTACCACGACAGCAGTTTACAACAGCATTAAAACACCAATGCAATTTTCAAATGCTTTAGTTGCAACCGTAATGAAACAGTGCAGTACAATTATTTTCACACTAGCTCTAGCAGACCATCCATCACCTCAAAAGTGATATAAGTGACTTGTACTTGAGGTGCAAAATTTCCACCAGCGCGCTTGACATTTGACTTTCAGCCGCCTTGTTACTATACCTGTCAGTTTCTGTTCATTCAATAAAAGTCGGCTTCACATGCCCATGCTAGTTTTCCCACAAAAGTGTTATTAGCTACAATTGTTATTATAAATGCATGTGTTTCTGTTACAAAAACAACTTACATGCAATTTTGTTACACTAGATCGCGAGGTAGTGCCGATCAGAAACATTTGGTAAAAGAAGTATGCATGCTGGTTGCTATATAATTATGTTTTCCCCCTCCACAGACCAAAGTTGAATAAGCGTGTCAATACCAATACATAGATCACGTGATCTGAAGTACTAGCTATGATTGGTTTAACCACCAATGAGCAACATTGTCAATGCAGGATACATAAAAATTCCCGACATAAATATTTGATGCAAGAGGTCAAAATAAGCTCTTTCAGTCCAAGTATTCCTCGACTACATATATATTTATTACGTCTGTCAGCACCCCGAGTTTGTTTATGTTGAATTGGCGTCATTCTTTGTCCCGTAGTTATTGTGCCATATAGTAATATACATATTTATTTATTCTCAGGAACTATGTTTGTGTCAACCTCATTTTTGGTTTTGTTCATGATGGCAGTCACCTCAAATGCTCAACATCACCCTGGAAACCCTGCTAATGGCACTTGCTTGAACTGTAATAGTGTCATGTATGAAAATGCAGTGTGGCATGGTACATGCACTGAAGAGTTTACCTGCCCACTCCACATTGCAGATATTGAACATATAATTGAGGAGAAAGTTGTTCTGTTGCACAAAGGAATTTATTTTGGGAATTCAGCATTCATACCTGGTACACGTCACTATATGTTTAACGGAATACTCGCATCACGAATCGACGCCATTGATAAGGGTGATATAGTATGTTATATTGTATTTTTATGTCCGATTTTTAGCACGCAATCAATGACTTAAATTTTTCAACTAAAGTGAAACATTATTGATGTTTGACACAACTAACAAATAGTATGTTTCGTGAGATATTACTGTAAATGGTCATATTTTAATATCACAATATGTGCGTTTGTGTGCGATGCTGATTTCTGGCCTGCCTGTTTTGATCTTATTTAATAAAGCAATAGTTCATACTCAGTAGTTAAGGTCGTATTATAGGGACGACCATGAGGGCGCTGTTCATATTGGGATGCGATGACGTCACAATGGGATACGTGCATAGATGAGCATAAATAATGACGTCACAATATGAATTCGTGCATAAATTAGCATAATTGAGCGTCCATGGCCGTAAAGGGGTTCATTGTAATGAGAATGACGTCACAATGGATATTGTGAATACATTTACATACATAAAATAGATTTGAATACGAGGTCGTAACGAGGTCATCGTGAATACATTTGCATAAATTACCATCATTTTTTTTAAATATTTTTTTTTCTATTTAATTATTTTTTAATTGAATGTTTTTTTTTAATTTTTAATTGGACGTCACAAAAGATTTTTCAGAATGTATTGTAGATGGCG